TGTATCTGTTATTCACATCTCTAAATATGCTTAGCGGCATACCCAACGCATAACTGTACGTCTACCAGTATTTCAGATAGCATTAGTTATGAATCAAAGCATACGGCCCCACATATCAGAGAATGTAATAACTTCAAGTCTGAGGATAGTTATAGCAAGGTCGATTTGAGAATACTGATAAACACATTACTGTAGATCCATGCAGTATTCTCAAGATGGGTCAATCCAGTCACATATTATCAATATAATATGCACCTACGTACAGATTAAGATATCACAATACCTATAGTCTATGAGACGCAACTATCTCATCTCGTACGTACTAGTCTTGATACGTTATGACGTCCGTATTATCATAAAGTGTGACTAGGGATATTCTAGACACAACCTTCGTCAAGAAGTAACAGTCTCATAATCAGAACATCGTAGTCCTCATCTATGTTACTGAAGCGCTATCGTTTATGGACTGAAGCTATGTTATGTTACACGAGATATAAAACATACTTCAAGGCCTTTCATTCATGATAAAGTGTACAGTTACATAGGTATTTGATTGCTGCTAGGGCACCTAAATACAACACCAATAATCTAAATGTTATGTAACACTTGTTTGCATATAATATTTGTAATACAACAAAATTGTCGATTATCGTCACTCTAAATAAAATAGTTTTCACTATCACTAAACATAAGCCTTTCAAAGACAAAAATAATATCACATGTTAAAAGATTTGTCTTTACTTTTTTTCCCAGTTAGAATGTAAAAGGTATCTGCTGCGGCTAAGGAGAATGACAATCCTATTGACAAAGAAGACTAAGAGATGGTTGCTGCTCAGCCAAAAAGAAGGAGAGAAGATTCGAAAGCGTCGCTCTTCTTTATTCTTCGACAAGTTTCATAGGTAATTGCTTCTTTCCACCAAATAGAAGCTTGAACAATGCTGTTAGGACAATTACTACTAGAGAAACTATAATGACTCCTATTGTGATCTTAGGATGTTTCTCTGCCTTTTCAAGTACATCTAGGAATTTGCTCTTATGTTCTCCCAAGAATGGCATGTTAGCAATCTTATAAAGCTGATCAAATACCACTTTCTTAAAACCTTTGAGGCCATCAGAGTCTGAATCTTCCTCAAAGTTATGCCAAATGCCTCAAGCCCCCATCACGATATTGACGGTGTTAAGAGAATCAGCTCTGAGATCTATGAACTTGAATTTGCTAGAGACAGAGGTATTGAAGTCACTGCACGCTACATAACAGTGGAGCAAATTGTCTTCATAGTTTCAAGAATTCAGGCTTGGCAACTTATGAAATTTGAAGGCCCTTGGTTCTAAAATTGAGAGGTACAACTCTCTGTTGAATGGGAAAAGTAATGTTTTTTATTGTAGATAGAATCATTCCTAGATTCAGAGATGAAATTTGAAGACAAGAGGTGATTGAAAACAATGATGTGCCCGCAATGGCTGCCACGATTCTCTAGAATGAACAGAAAAGCGAACCATACACAATCAATGATGAAGATGAGATGACAAATTAATTGATGAATTCACACGAAAAAATCAAATGATGAAATGAAATCAATTGACAAAAACATTTGATGAAATCAACCGGAAATCGAATGATGATGAAAGTGAAACTTGATCAAAGCGATACGAGTGAAACTCAATCCAACCGATTTAGTGAAACTAAACAATGATGAAACTTCTAAATTACACAGAAGTGAATGAAAATGATCGAGCTAAACATTCCAGTCATGAGAATGAAAATGAAGTTGGATACTCAGTCTGAGAACCAACATAATGAATAAAGGATCAATAGGGATCACTTGTGATGATGGAAATGAAATATAGATGGCAAAGTCATAATGAGGAATATGTTTTGAATTTATTGAATATGTGATGAAATCTGATGATGATGAAATGAGATTGGCAATGATATTCATGTGATAAAATTGGTTTAATTGAAGACAGAAAATCAAATGCAATAGTTACAATTTTGCATTCAATAATGATGAATCTGATTTGCATTCCATGGAGCGCAAGATAATGAACACTACCTGAATTAGAGATATGAATAGATAGAGATGGCGTCAAGTTGAAGTTTTTTTCCACTTTGACATCCATTGATGTGGACTGCTACGGCCTTCTTTAAACGATGTGAGACAAGGGAATTCAATTTCGCCATGGTGAAATTGGATTTTGAAGGTGCCGGCTGCAGCACCAGTTCATCATCATGAGAGCACGAGATCTACAGGTGAGAATCCCATTCAAGCCATGAATCGCGATGTTCCGGTGTAGAGTGACAACTCTCAACACGAAGGTCATGACCTACAACGAGAGTGCGGTGAGATGAACCAGGCTGGAGCCTATTGAGACCTCTGACAGAGAGGCGCTATATCTGGATGGGGATGCAAGTCAGAATCCCGACGGATTTCGTGACAGAATCACGGTGGCTACTGAGGAGGAAATAAACCGAGCGGACGAGGACGTCTTTGATGCAGGGGCCGGCATAAATCTCGAACGCGACTCCAGATGTTTCACTGAATACGAAATCGGATGAGATTTAGAAGAGAAACTTGCCGTTCCATCTGTTTCACGGATTTGATCGAGTCCAAATCTAAGCTTGGCGGAGGAGTCGATTCACCATCTGCTCAACTATAATCGGACGCAGAATCTACCAGCGCGAAGAGATGAACCAGTTGGGACATGAGATAATAGGTGAATCGGCGATTCAATTCCTTCATCGCAGAAAATCTTTAGGAGTCCAAATCGAAGATGGCGAGAAGAATTTGGAACCGTAAAATTGTGTGAGAGAGAAAATTGAAGATAAGAAGTAGATTGCTTAAAGCTATAGCAACTGGCTCCGATACCATGTTGGAACAAAGTGTATTAACTAGCTCAACTTTTGTATTACATGATTAACTTCTATACATAGAAAATGAAAAACAAGTAACAACCAAAAATATCTTCCTAACTAACCAACAAACTATGTAACTAATCAAGTAAACAAATGCTAAATGGTGTTTTACACCAACATTCTAAGTTGGAACTGTTGTGGTGTGCACTTGTAACGCCCCGAAATCTGGCCCAAAAGAATTAATTAAATTGTTAGAGCAATTGATTACGAATTGGGCCTAAAAAGGGGTTAAAATTATAATTTGGATTCTAAGCCGAACTTTTATGTCATCTCGTAGGAAATATTTTTGTGATCGCGTCGGTTCAGACGGCTCGCGAATCGGAGTTATGGAGCTCATGTTATGACCATTTAATCAGGTATTTTGGGTCCGAAGCCCAATCCTTTTTGGAATGGAACCATTAAATAAAACCTAAACTAATTTCAGCCACACGATCCTTATCTTTTCTTCTTCTCCCGTTCTTCTTTGTTCTTCTTCTTCTTCTTTCTTCTTCGTCTTCAACAGCCGGACGCCGTTCTTCGCCGCACCAGCCAATCGCGCTGCCCATCCTTCGCCGGAAGTTTGTCGCCTCCACTGCCAGCGCCGGTCGCCCTTCCCCAGCCAGTCGCCGCCGCTTCTTTCTTCGCCGGTCGTCCGCCGCCGTCGAGTTGCAGCGCCGCCAGTCGTTGCCCAGCGCCACCGAGTTGCATCATCGCCGCCGTCACCCTTAGCACAGCCGCCATCATCTCCGACGAATTGCAGCGCCGCCACGCCGAGCGCCGGATGCGCCTCCACTGCCGGCGTCCTTCCTCGCCGACGAATTGCAGCGCCGCCAGTCGCTGCTCATCGCCGTCGAGTTGCCGCTCCGCCACTGTCGCCGGCGTCTGTCACCGTCGCCGCATCCAGCCGCTGCCCCGAGTTGATATCGCCGGCAGATTAACATCCACGCCGAATTGATTGGTCGATTTCGCATTTTGACTCAATTTGACCCGTTCGTTTGATTTCGTTGATTTGTCTTCCGTTCGAGCGATCGATTCGATTTTGGCGTAATCCAGGTCTGTACTATGAAGTTAATAGCAATTAGAACAGATTTAATGGTTTTTATCGTTATATGTGTTTATGCTATAATTTGGCTAAATTGGTTAATTGAATTAATTTGATTATTTGAATTGAATTGTCGAGGTTTGTGAATTGACTGAACATGTTTGACTTTGACTTGGGTTAGATCACGTTTGACTTAGGCCTTGACTGGATATTCTGTCGACGTAGGTTTGATTGAATGGTTAAACCCAAGACTTTAATGAATTAGTTAAGTTAATTAATTAATTCTAATCGGTGATTAAGGTCAATTGGTTTATTGTGTCGAACATAGAAACTGGCCATTGCTCGGGCGGCTGCAGGGCCTGGTCAGTGAGGTTAAGACGTGCGCACGAGGGTCTGTGATCTTGGGTTTGAGGCTATCGCCCGAGGGATCATACCTCCACCGAATTGAGGCTATCTTCGGTATTACGGATTGAGACTATCTCCGTCATAGGCATTAAATGTTAAGTGGTTTGACTTTGGTGAAAGTCTAAATTGGTTTGACCGGTGGTCAAAGAGTTAATGAGGAATCCTTGACACCTAAATCGTTTTGAAAAGAAAGAAAATAAGTTGACTGTTGGTCAACCGTTTAAAGAACCGAATGTAAAGTTGAATTGATTTTTTTTATTAAAAGGATAAACATATGCACGATCTAATCATTGAATTATTATGTTTATTCTTGTGCTACTATGGAGTGCCACTCAGCGTCAATGCTGAGCGGATAGCGTTGTTTTCCTTTTTGCTGTCCGTAGGTGATCAGACAGATGAACCTAGAGCCGATCCCAGAGGGCATTGAGGAGGAGATGTACGATGGCGTGGCTGTCTCTTTAATCTGTTGATTATGCTTTATTTAATTAACTTTAATGCTTATTACGTTTTCGGGCAAGACCCCAAGTTGTTTGACTTTAAAAAGGCTTCCGCATTATTCTAAATTACTCCGATGGATTTTTATATGTATTGATAGAACGTTTGTTTAAAATTGTTTTGAAAATGTTGTATATTCGGATACCAATCCAGTGGCACACCGGTCCGCTATCTCACGGGTTTGGGTTACGCGGGTTGGGGTGTTACAGCACTGCCATGCAAATTACATACATGCGGACGTGCGGTGCAGTCATGGTGTGGTACACACTTCGCTAATTTTGTGAGGAGGATAAAAGAGCTACACACGGAACAGTTGAAGCTTCTTGACTTGCTGTATAGCTCGTAAAACGGTCGATCAGGTTGGGTTCGGATCGACCTAACGGGTTATGAGTTTCAATTTTTTTTGAAATTTTAAATAATTTTTATGATCGATTATCAATATTACACATAAAACACTAAATATGCATGAAATTTTGAAAAAAGTAAGATAATTTTGCGATATCATTAAAATTTTGTATGAAAATATAAATTTATACATTAAGAATGAGTAGTAATAAAAAAAGAAATATAATTAAAATCTTATTTTTATCACATTATATTACATATTAAAGCATATGATTTTGAAAGATTCTTACATTAGCGGTCTTCTCTTCCTCCTCATCCTTTGTCTTTACTTTCTTCCAGATATGTGATTGGGAGGTTTGGCGGCGAATGAGAGGTTGGCGGAGATGGTGCAAATGGGGGAGATGGTGGGATTCACAGTGGTTAGAGGGTTAACGGTTGTTGTGGGGGCTTGCAGAAATTATGTGGGTTGGCCGAGATGATAGGGTTAGAGATTGTGGTGCGGTGCTGCAGTTGGCGATTGTGATAATAGTTTGGCAGTGATTGAGGGTAGGGACTGGCGACGATGTGGGTGGTCGCCGGTGGGGGTGTCGGCGATGGGGTGAGTCGTGTTGCAGATATGGTGGATTGGGCAATTAGCACAGGTGGAGGTATTTTGGACCATTCCATTCCATAATCAACTCTCCTTAAAAATAAGAAAAAGTTAAATTGGTTAGTTCTTTTTGGGACGGAAGTTGTATTTTATTTAATTTTCGGTCAGTGGCTTTGGCTCTGTCAAAGCCAAAAGCAATACATTTTTTTAGGGTATGTTTGGATGAGGGAGGTAAAATTTTATTATGTAGGTAATGCTAGGTAATAAAATGTAGGTAATAGAAGGTAGGTAAAGTACATTAATAAGTTAAAAATTTGTGTTTGGATGTTTATAAGGTAATGTGAGGTAGGTAAAATAATAAAGTTATTTAAATATCCTTATTCTTGATTTTCTTTATTCGATTCTTGGAAAGTCTTCCGTCGAATCATAATTGACCTTGTGCATAAAATTATATACTCGTAATATTCTAATTACGTAAAATAATAGTTTGATAATTATTTATAAGGTCAATGTAATAAAACAATTGCATCAGTTATAAACTTTCTAATTCAACAAACATAAAAGAAATATAGAAAAAAATTCTTTTGCATCAATTTCAAAAAATAGGAAGAAGAAGAAGAACCGTGGATGGGACGAAAGAAAAAAAACGGAAGAGAATGGCAGGGGAGGGAAGACATAAACTTTACCTTGGTTGTCCGGAGAATTGCCCGACGGATATTTTCAACTGTTACGCACTACGTAACCTCCCCTGAACGGACGAAACAATAACCTTCCTTTTGGTTTTTGTTTTTGTATAAAAACCTAACCAGAAAACCAAACCCAACACTACATAGTATTATTGCTTCATCGAGTTAGTATTTTTACGACTTTTTATTGCTTATAAATTTCTACTTTTATAAACTGAAAAAACCAAAATAAAAATCGCATAAACCAAATCGAATAACCAATGGTTTACATTCTTTATGCAAAATCAAACCGAACTGAACCGCCAACTTATATTCTGTTTTGTCTTTAGTTGAGTAAAAATCGAACTGTTAAAACCGAACTCACCCCTAGATTATATTCTAGATGATTTAATCAAATGGATGACAAGGAAAAACAAATTTGAGTAAATTTTATAAATAGTCCTTTATAAGTAGGAGGTTTCCATATTTAGTCTTTATTTAACAACTATTTAATATTTAGTCTTTATTATTTGGGTACTTTTTTACAATTGATCCTCTGTCATTCTTCCCGTGTCACTGTCGTTAATATGAGGTCAATTAAGTGATTTCACTTTATTCTCCTCCAAAAGCTTAGGTCAGCGATTTCCCTTTTTTCTCTTCACGCCATACTTAGGGTTTTTTCATCTGTAAGCTTCGACGCCTTCACGCACTAATTTCTTCATGTCTGCCCACTAATTTTGGCGAATCGGAGCTTTTGATGTCTACATTTGAAGGTAATGGAAGTTAATTCCAAATTTATTTGTTCCTCTGCTCTTAAAATTTGTGGGTCACTTTTATGCTTTGCGAAATTATCCGAAGCATGAATTGCTTCAAGTCCCCATATTTCCTTTTCTTTTTACTTAGTTGGGTCTTCTTCACCATCCATGGACTAGTCTCTTTAAGCACTAATTTGAATAGTGAACATCATTTAAGATTTTGAACTCTCAAATAAAAATTGGTTATTGAACTATCAAATTTGATTTAGATTTTGATTGTTTCTATGTTCTTTGAATTGATTGGATTTTGATATGATACTCTAGTGCACTGATTTGGATTTCTTTTGTAGGAACATTTGAACTGAAATTTAGGCTTGGTGGATCTATTTGTATCGGAGGTGCGCTTCCGAGATACGATGGTGGTTTTGTAAAAATTGTTCATAATGCTCTCTTTGAAGAGTGGGGTATGATGCTATTAAAGCATCATATTGAGGAATTTGGTTTTAAGAATTGGGAAGATATTAGTATATACTCTCAAAGTGACTCTGGAGTAAAGGAGTTAGTCAGTGATAGTGATGCATGAGAGTTGGTTGCAGTAGATAAGTTACCTGCTGTAATTGAAATTTGGGTGGCTACAACAAGGGTAACAGGGGATGAAAATGACACACATTCCATTGATGATGAGTACGATGATGATGAAGACCTAGATGATGAAGATTTTGAATCTGAATCAGAGGTTTCCGAGGACTTTGATGAGACAGATGGTGAACACGATGATTTCCTATTTGATTCTAATGTGGACAACACAGTAGAATTTGGTGGGCTAGAAAACAAAGTATGAGATGTGTTACAAGAGAATGAGAGAGCTGTTGAAGAACTACCATTCCTTGGGAGTGATGAAGATAGTTTGTCAGAAGGCAACGGAAATGAAAAGGTGCACTTCCCTATTTTCAAAGCAAAAAGGGACTTAAAGAATCCAAACTTCTCAGTGGGTTTATTATTTCCTAGTAAGAAGTTGTTCAAGGAGGCAGTAAGTAATTACGCATTTAATAATGGGAAGTGTTTAAAATTTGATAAGAATGGTAGCAATAGAGTGTATGTAAGTTGTGTTGATGGGGGTGAGAAGAGGAGAAAAAAGACAAAACATGAAGAGGAAAGTGCTAGCAATCAGCATAAGAGTCGGTGCCCTTGGAAGTTGAGGTGTCACAAGCTATTAGGGACCACTGACTTTAGAATTACTTACTTCAATGACGTTCATGAAGGATGCAGTTAGAAATATTACAACAAGATGGTGAACTCCACAATTCTTGCAGAGAGATGGAAGGGAGAAATGAAATATCATCCAAATTGGAAGGTGAAAGACTTTCAAATGCATGTACAAACACAAGAGAAGTGTCACCTATCATACACACAAGCTTGGAGGGCACTTAGAGTGGGGTATGCAGATGATCATGGACATGCAGAGGAGGAGTACAAGATATGGTGGAGGTACTATAAGGAAATCATGACAACTAATCCTGGGACCTCTTGTTGAGTTAAATACATTGACGATGGTAGCATACGAAGATTTCAGCGGGTGTACTTTTGTAGGGAAGCTTGTCGTGAAGGGTTCAAAAGATGTAGGCAGATTATAGGATTAGATGGTTTCCACCTAACGGGGAAGTTTGGAGGAACAATGCTAGTTGCGAATTGTGTAGATAGTAATGAGAATATTTTTCCATTTGCTTATGCCATAGTCGGGTCTAAGAACAAGGAATCTTGGACATGGTTTTTAGACCTTCTAACATTCGATTTAGAGCTAAATGATTCTAAGGAACCAAGGTTTACCTTTATGTCACGTATGCTTTTATTAATACAGTTTTTAATACACTTAAAGAACCAACTGTCTATTTTCTTAAGTTGCCTAAACATGCATATTTTGGTGCTTTACTAACTCACAAATAAGCAAAAGGGTTTGTTACTTGCGTTTGAGGATGTGATTCCACGTGCAATGCATCGATTTCGTGTAAGACATTTAGAAGGCAACTTCAAGAATGCCGGCTTTTTAGGAAAAGCTCTAAAAGACATGTTATGAGAGGCTGCTAAAGCAACAACAGTGTCTCAGTACGAGGATGTTATGAAGAAAATAAAAGATGAAGATGTTGATGCGTATGATTGGTTGGTTGATAAACAAGTTTCAGAGTGGTCCAGGTCCCATTTCCACATTGCACCTAGGAGTGACAATCTCACCAACAACATTTGTGAGTCGTATAATAGAGTTTTGAAAGAAGCCAAGTCTCAAACTCTCATTCAGTGTCTTGAAAGCATTAGGGAAATGCTCATGAAAAGGTTTTTTTTATTTGAGAGAGAAGTCCAACTATTGGAAAGGTTTGTTGTGTCCAACAGTGGCTTCCAAACTAGCCATTAATTCAAAACTAGCATGTGGCTATACTGCAATTCAAAGTGACATATCTCTTTTTGAAGTTAAAGGATTAAGGGCAAAAATCTAGGAGCGACATGGGGTAGATTTGGTTGAAAGGAGTTGTACATACAATAGTTGGCAGTTGACTGGGATCCCTTGCGTACATGCTATCTGCGCAATATGGATACAGAGGCAACAATATCGAAGAGAGGTGGAGGAATATGTAGACAACTACTATTTAGTAGAAACATATAAGGCTGTGTATATAGGATGCATTAAACCATTAAGGGGTAGAAGTGAGT